GTCTTGTAAGAAAAAAATGGGTGTGATAAGGGAATCTTAAGACTTAAATTGGGAGCTGTACTAGGACTTCCAGAACGCACTAGGTCATATTCTATTCCAACTGTTAAGCATCTTAAATCTCTCAGTGTGATCATACGATTCAACTCCACACTGTTTGAGTCCCTGAAAAATGCACAGTGCATTTGTAATCTGCCTTCATCTCAGCTTTAGAACTAAGTCATAAAAAAGGAGGAGGAGGAGAACCCAGCCTTCTTTTGTGGTAGGTGTTTTTTAAGGACATGAACAGGATGGAGTAGGTTCACACTTAGACATTTGGGGCATGTGTACATGGCTTCCCTTTTAATGCCGGGACCACAACTAACAAAATAAGCTCCACCTACTTATTCCTGCTTGGATCAACCAGGCTAGGGACAGATATTCAAAAAGTCTGAGCCTGAATTCATTCAATCTTTGCAGGTTAGTCTAACCTGGCTAGGCTAAACCAGTTTGTAACCCTTCAGACATCCCAGAAATGCAGGCACATGCCTGCAGTGGCTCAGGCTAGATGCCAGAGGGTGCTAGAGCAGCCCTCCTTTCCCTTGTATAGTGCTGAGCTGAGGTGGCTATGGCCAAGCCCCAGCAAGATGCTTTGATTAGGGAGGGCCTGCCTCTCCCACCAGCCCAGCAGGGAATTGATAACACAATGTGCATCACCCCTAATTCAGTGTTTATCAGCTCATTAAGAAAACAGCCGAGAGACCTTACCAGCTAACTGTTGATTCTGCCTTTGTCCCGTCTGCCACAGCAGGGACCGCAGCCAGCATGTGGTCTGCTAGCTAATGCTTAGAGGTATCTGTGTAAGGCACAAGAGAGGGGGAAATTCCTGCTTAGCAGGGAGTGGTGAGGGGAGCGGGGGGGGGGGGGGGGGGGGAGAAGAAGCCAGGCAGATGTTCTGTGTCTGCAAGTCTCTGCCAGAGCTGCAGCCAGGGAGCAGAGGGGAGGGGCCAGCTCTGTTGTGGAACAGAGTGCCCCGCTAAGCCCAGAGGGCATGCTAGGATGCTGGGAGAGTCTGATTTAACTTAAACCAGCAAGGGGTCTGGGATAGACATTATATTAACTGGTTTGACCCAAATCAGTTAAGTCTGATACTACATTCAACTAGGTTTATTTCAAACTGGTTTCAGCGATTTTGAAACTGGTTTATGTGAACATCTGTTACAGGGTTAAACCAGTTTATGCATAGTGATTATCCCTAGCCTCAGAGACTGGCAGTCAGAGTAGATAGCTTGAGAGTGGCTTAGACTAATCCTGAGGATGTGCTCTAGCACTATGTACAGGCTGTTTAGGGAGAGCCTGAGCATGGTGTGGAAGAGGAAGGGGCAAAAAGCAGACACAAACTCACTCATGTGAGGCATACCCAAGCCATCTTGGCTCAATTGCTAGCCTCTGGTGTGCTCAAGTGAGCATAACTTATTTTGTTGGCAGCAATTTAGGGTTTGGCAGGAAAGCCGGGTAGATAAGGCTTTAGACACCTAATAGATGAAATAGGATCTGGTTTGGCATGTCATCTTCCTGGCTTGCTGCTCTGATTTTATTATCTTCATCTTTGCATTTCTTACTACTTGTACTTTTCCATTGCAGCAGACAAAATAACTTGTCTTTAAGACTTCATAGTTTAGCCCAGCCCTATACATTTTTGAGTCTCTTTCTGTTTTATCTTTGCTTTCCCTTGGACACAACTGATGATCCTTATGTGTGGATAGAATATAGCAGAACAATCTGTAGCACCACTACAGTCTCTTCTTTGAAGGCATGTTACATATACCATGCCTAGCAAAATTAACCCAAGCTTTAATTGGGACCTCTAAGTACTATATCAATACAAGTTTTATAATAATTATCAAGGATCTGGGTTTTCTGTTTCCCACGGAAAAATGGAAAAAAAACCATGGATTTTCCCCTTTACCCGAGAAAAATGCAGACTTTTCATTTTAACAGAGAAACACATGGATTTTGCTCTTTTGCAAAGAGCTCTCTGCAGGCTGGCAGAGTTCCTGTCTGCAAGGGGTTGGAGGAAGCAGGGGGAGGGTGGTAAGATGGGGTGTATCATGTGCATGTACATGCTCGTGGCTGCCAGGCAGCCTGGAAAGCAGCTCCCACAGCTAAGTGGGGGTGGGGGGTGGGAAATTGAAGCTCCCATAGGGAGGGAGGGCCGGAGTTGGGCGGGGCAGGGCAGGGCTGCAGCTGGGACTGCTGCCCAGCCAGGTGGGGCTTGGGTCCCAGGGCCACAATGTGCAGCCGCAGGGCTCCGGTGAGGAGTGGAACAGGGCCACAAGTGGCTTGTCTGGGGAGTGGGGCTGGCTCCCCACCACTGAGCCCCAGGGAAAAGGGGGGCCATGTGCCCTATAGATCGGTGCATGGGGTGGGGGCGGGCTGCCCACTGGAGGCTCGGGCTCCTGGCAAAGCAGTTACATTACCAGACTGTTTTGTAGGTCTATCCAGATAGATAAGACAGCTCCTGGTTTTGACCAAAAGTCAGTTAACCATGATTATGGTTGTAATGTGCTTTGTAATGTGAAAATGATTGAGTCCACTACTTTGTATTTGACAAATGAACTTAAATGCCATGACTTCACATTTCTCTATCTGTTCTGTATCATGGGACGGTTGGTGTAATATTTATCTGAACTGTAGAATCATAAAAAATTAGGGTTGGACCTGAGGAGGTCATCTAGTTCAACCCCTGCTCAAAGCAGGGCCATTCCCAACTATGTCCTCTAAGGATGTAAAGTTCCCAGTCTCTCTGGGTAACCTATTTCAGTGCTTTACTGCCCTTCTATTGAGAGAGTTTTTCTAATACGTAACCTAAACTACACTTGTTGCAACTTGAAACCATTGCTCCTTGTTCTGCCACCACTGAGAACAATCTAGCTCCTCCATCAGTGGTGGAGCTAACTCTATCTGTTCTATATCATAGGACTATTCTAATATTATAAAAGCCTAAGTCTATCTGTCTGTCCGTAATGCTTTATTCACACTCTGATTGTCTGACAGAAAAAGCCAATCAGAGTGCTCCAAGCATGGGGGAGCGCCACCACGTTTCTGAAGCCGCGCCGAGGACCGGACAGAGGGTGGGGGAGCCGGGGCCATCAGCGCTGGCCTCAGCTCCTGCACCCCACTCCCTGCAAGAGGCAGAACAGTGGCGGCATGGGTTGTTAGGTGGCGCCACTGCATGCCAGCCCTCTCTCCCCTCCTCTGCCCCACCATGGTCATTCTTGATGGGCAGTTGGCTAGTAGGTGTAATATTTATCTGAAACTATGCTAAGGCATAATGCTGGTGTTTAAACATGAAATATGAGGCTTGGCTTAACATTCCTCAGACTATTTAGGGGAGATGAAATGATTAATATTACATTTTTGTTGTAAGTTTTGTCCAGGGCTGATTGTCCCAGACACTGTTTTTTGGATTTGTTATTTAAATATGTGCCTTAAACATGAATCTGCAAAATGCCTGTGATTGCAATAGAGCACATTTGTTTAAGTATTCATGTGACGGGATCATTTTTGTGTTTGAGATGCAATGAAGCCTGTTGAGAATAACGTGTGTCTGCACGTAAGCAGACATGGTGATATTTGAGCATTGCCATGGAGACATTTGGCAGAGACGCAGCATTTGAAAATCCACATCTACGCAAATGCACACAAATGTGTGTAAATATGGGTTATCATAATAAGGATATGACTACTTTTGTACGATAAAGTCCAATTTTTGCTTTAGAATTAATTTCCAAATCATAATGTTTAATTTGTTGTATTAAAAATAGAAAGATTCAGTTTGTTCCCTGTTGTCTTTTAAGAAATAGCTATAAAGGTGAAGTTGCATGAGGAAATATTTTCTAAAGCCCCTTTCAGACATTACATTTCTTGTGGGACATATGTGAGTATTCAGTAACAAATGGTAACAGGGAGATAAACCCCTGTGATCCCATAGTGCTCTGCTCTCCCTCCCTCAAAGGGAATAAGGGTGAAGGGGCTGCCTGCAGTCTGGGAACCTCTGCCCCCAGCCCTTCAAAACACTGGGAGCTGTAAAGGGCTTCTGGTAGCCTGGGAGCTCTGGCTGGGAGCCTGGCTCCCAATCCTGTCAGAGACCTATTCAGCTCACTGATGGCCTCGCTTGGGGCTCTTGCTTTCAAACAGCCTCCTATTGCCCCTGGCTGGAGAGTGAAGGCTCTGAATGTTTCATAGCCCATAGCACTTTTTTTGTTGTTTATATAAAGTCTGCAGGCAGCCTAAGTTGCCTTTGCTATGATCATACTGTAAAGAGGTAAACCCGTCTTGTGGTAGAGGCTATCTAGTCATATAATTGCTTTTCTTTTATGCATTTTCAGAAATGTCATGCAGTGTTTTGTAGACACATGGTGTGTCATGGTACTTGTCGTTAGGTGTAATTTTTAAAATGTGGATGCTAGAATGTTTTGTAAATGGTGAGTCCATGCTAGAATACATTTCTGAAATTGAACATATTCTTTTAATATGCTAATCTGGAAGATGCAACTCATAAGTGCATGGTCACAAAAGCTTGTTCCTATACCTAAAGAGGTCAGTTGGAATATTGATGATTTCAGTAGGATTGGGATCAAGTCCACAGCTCCAAACACCTGTCAGTAGATGACTTTTGTTTCTCAGACTTGCTTCCCAGTATAGATGTAAACTTTAGGACCGAGTATAAAGCTCATCTATTCAGTTAGACTGCCAGTAGTACAGGAGCGGGGAATCAAGTATTCTTGTTAAATATTCTAATGAATATTTTTATTCTCATTTTTATTGCATTCCAGATGTAGCAGACTTGGTTGCATTTTAAAAACAGCAAAATTTAAGTATTGGTAAAGCAGATGCTTCAACCTGTATATTGGAAAGTTTTGTACCACAGTGCAAAAGTTTCTTGAAGGGACAATATCTTGTCCTGCACTTGTTCCAGAACCTTCCCAGAGTGCCTAATTGTTTGTTTTGTTTCCTCACAGATGAATTGACTCCTAAGGAAGTCAGCAGGGTAAGTACTGCTTACAGTTGTTTCTCCATCCCCTCTAGAAAAAGAAAAGGTCTCTGTGGCCCACTGTTCACTTGAGATGACTTTCTTGCTGTCTCCGATCAAGGCTGTACACCATTCCCTGAGCAAACTTATACCTCCAGAGAAATAGCTGGGAGATTTTAGATGTAACTGACAACTTCCAGAGCAATTAATACAACTCCCGCCGCCTCCCCCCAATCCAGACATTTGATTGATTGTAAACACGTGAAGATCTCCCTTGTTCATTAGCAAAATAAGAGTTCATGCAGGCTATTTCTGTGTTCCCATGTAAACACGTTGTTTCAAGGAAATAAGCAATTCCTTCAAACTTTGAACTCTGACTTGTTAGTCGTGTAACTACCAAATATTTAATCAGTGTTATTACCATGAGAGATGGGAAGCGTAAAACTACCAAAGAGGAAACAAGACCAGGAATACATCTTATTTAATTACATCCTTTGAGATATGGTAGAGTACAGCAGAGTTACTTTTTTGTGAAATATTTCTCAATGTACTATATGAAATCTAACGTGAAATACGTCTTAAATAATATATTTATTAATAAGTTCTTGAGTTATATGTTTCTTTTTGACTTAGCCCTATATATAAGTGTATTTTACAATAAGCATGCTCCTTGCTGAGTTATCATAAGCTACCATATAGTCCTTTGTCCTAAGTAGGATGTATACTTTTGTTTCTATATTATAGGTTGTTATTATAGTAAATAATTCTGTTGTACTTTCAGTTGTCTTAACCTTCTTCCATCCAATATACAAACAAATGGCTGCCAACTTTCTGATTCTTTAAATATAATATTTTCTCTGCTCTTTGTCACTATTAACTAACTCTTCTATGATTCAGGTTACTCCTAATATCTTGTGCCAATTTTGCCATCTCAGGGTAACTCATCAGCTTCCCCCCACCACCACCCATTTTGCTTATAAATGGAGTACTTGCTTGATGTGTCAGCCATGCATCCTGTTTGTATTCCCTTTCTCACAAAAATTCTTGCTGCCTTTACACTTGGAAAATGAAGTATTGATGTAGTAATTCCTGACCTATGATAACCTAAAAATACAGAGTTCTGTAGCCAGTTAATCTTACCAGCCATCTTTCAGGCAAAATAATAGTTTGTATTTTTTTTCCTCCAAATTTACAAGTGTTTTGTAATGGTTCATTATTCAAATAATCACTTTAACTTTTAATGTATTACAAATGATATCCACAAAACACTACAGCACACCCCCCTCCGAATGTAATTTGCGTACTGCTCTTCAGGATAAACCCAACAATGATCAGTTTATTTTTAAGCATCTTTCAATCAGTCTATCATCTCAACATTTTATTAAATTTCTCTGAGGATGAAGTGATGATAAAATCTAAGAAAATCTTGACACAGAAGTAAGTTTTTGGATCATTTAGAAGTGTGGAAATACCAAAATTAAGGGCCTACTATGATGGTTATATCTTTAACATGACTAAACTCATAATGCTTTTGCATGGTTATAGTCTTAATATCCCCAGTTGTTTTGAAATCTCTCATCTTTGCAAGGCATCTCTCATGAAATCTCTCATCTTTGCAAGGCATCTAATTACCATGTTGCCTTGTATACCCATCTGCCCCCCAAATATAATATTTTGGAAGGTAGAATAAAGAAAAAAAAGATTTTTTTCTAGAATGATGGCTGCATGGAGCTGGGACAGAGTCTAATCTTCAACTCACACAGATTTCCTTTCCTGCTCAGATAAAAGCTACAATTTTAACCCTTTCACAGCTGAAATGACAGCAGCTTTAAGCTGCTCAGCCAAAAGTTGAAACTCTAGTTGTTGGTGAAGACTGGATTCCCTGGGAGGTTCTAGGATTTTGAAAGAAGCTAAAAGCAGTCTGCAAATCTTGGAAATAGAAGAAGAGAAACCAGAGGTAGCTAACAAATAGCAAAATTGCTAACGAAAGGATAGCTTGATTAAGGGAACATCAAAGACCATTAAAGGGGAGAGGAGGTCATTAACATGCGTGGAGCGAAGAGCAATTAGTAGGAATCAGATGGATTATAATAAACCACAGAGACATAGCAAGCCAAGGTAGCACCCAAGATAAACCCTATGGGAGAGTTTTGGAACTGCCTCCATGCAGGCTCCGAAAGATGGGGTGGGGGCATGCGGCTTCTGTGAGCAGCAGAGAGCACGTGGTTCCCACAGGAGGGATGGGGGGTGGGGGGGACACATGAGTTCTGAGAGTGAGGGGAGGGGGCAGGACGGGGGAGTGAGAGGGGCAGTTGCTAGTGCAAGAGTAGGCAGCAGCCTTACTTACTGGGAGCTTCAGAACAGTCTCGGATGAGGTGCTGCTGCATGTGCTCTGCCAGCCCCAGCTCTGTTGCTCTTAAAAGAACAACAGCTGGGAACTGTTTTGAAGTTCCTGTCGGGACAATGCTATGGGGGCACAGACTCCATCAGTATGGGGGTGATTCTGGTGCCCCTTCTAACTTTGTGCCTGGGATGAGTGGCCCTCTCGCCCACTACTGGTGAATTATGAAGTCAGTTAACTCCCCTGGCACTGCCTGAATAAAAATGCCACTGTTGCTGCTGGGCAGTTATTTTTAAACTTTTGGTGGAGTAGGAATCAAAGTGGGGTGTAGCACCACACCTCCCCTGACTCTGCTGTCCCTGGAATTTCCTCCTCCCTCCCTGTGGCTACTGGAGGGAAGAGAAGGACAAAAATCATCAGCCATCCAACAGTATCTCTGTGCTTCTGTTGTGGGCAGAAAGTCAGCTTGCCCTGCATAGAACATGCACCCTGCTTTTGGAAGGCTACAATTTTTGTGGAAAGGGTGCATGTAGTAGTATGTGAGTTAAAATGGGTTATCTGGTTACTGTACTGATATTATTCTGACATTTAAATTACTAATCCAGTTTTGTAAAATAAAAACTGCAGGAAGGGGTACAGAAGTCTCAGTGTTTGAAACAAGGCTATGGCCATTCAAGTTTTAGGTTCCCTCTTCAGTTGTTTTGAATTTTTCATGTTGCTGTGGTCTGTGCCTTGAGGAGATAAGTCTGGTTTTCCGGTCTGTAGAAATATTAGAGTTATATGCGAATTGGTTACGTTTTGCAGCTAGTCTACTGAATGTGAACTGTGTATTGTAATCCTGAAACATCTTATCTTGGTTTAAGAAAGATCATTGTACAATCCAACTTTTCCAGCCCTGCAAACCTTATACATGTGTACTACATTATAATAATACTTAAACAAATGACATCATCATAGTGGTTCAACATATTATTGATTTATATCTTTCTCAGATTGTAAATCCTCTTAGAAGTGCATGCATCAGTAATTTAATTCAAAACCAATGTATGATGCTTTTTGTCTCAGACAGCCTTGTTGAGGCTAAGTTACAAAAACTGAGGAGTTAGAATAGTTAACAGTATGCTTTATATTACTTAGGTACAACTCAGGATTTTTCCCCTCAAAATTTCTTTATGTTCCCCCTCCCCCCCTTTGTTTCTTTATATTTACAATGTTAATTAAATGCCTGTATGATGCTTAAGGTGCTCTAACACTTTCACAATAAAATCCCAGTGCATTAAACTAATAATTTGAACAGGAACCCAGCTAGTTAGCCATCCAAAATCCCCTTTCTACTCATTTGGCTAACTTGATGATTTTCCAAACCCATCAGCAGGCTGGTGAATGATGCCTTACCCTTCTCTCTTTTGATAGGACTTGATCTCCCAGAAATCAGCTTCCTTTTGTATACTGTTCATTTGTCTGCTCCGAATTTCTCTATCCCCTGTTGCAACTGTTTTCTTTCCTATGTTGTATTGCATGGGTGGGTAATTGTTTGAGCCTGCAGGCCGCATAGGGATGTCTCGGACGGCCAGAGCCGACTCGAGGTGATCTAATAATTGCTCGTTCGTTGGGCGGGCTGGTGAATAGAGAGGCGGACAAGGCTTAAATGGTTGGAAAAACTTTACTTACGCCGCTTGTAGCTGCGACACAGACGGTCCGGTCGTATGAACAACTATGTTAGTTGTTCCAGCTGGCAAGGCTCAGGCTAGCTCATCC